ACTGGTCTTTTTTTTTTTTTTTTTTTTTAATTTTTTTTTTTTAATGTTTTATTTATTTCTAGGAGAGAGAGAGAGAGACACAGCGTGAGCAGGGGAGGGTCAGAGAGAGAGGGAGTCACAGATTGAAACAGGCTCCAGGCTCTGAGCTGGCAGTCAGCACAGAGCCCGACGCGGGGCTCGAACCCACGAACCGCGAGATCATGACCTAAGCGAAAGTCGGACGCTCAACCGACTAAGCCACCCAGGCGCCCCATTTTTTTTTTTAATTTTTTAATGTTTTATTTATTTTTGAGAGAGAGAGAGAGAGAGAGAGACAGCGTGAGCAGGGGAGGGGCAGAGAGAGAGGGAGACACAGAATCTGAAGCAGAATCTGAGCTAGCTGTCAGCACAGAGGCTGACGCGGGCCTCGAACCCACCAACCGTGAGCTCATGACCCGAGCCGAAGTCGGACGCTTAACCAACTGAGCCACCCAGGCGCCCCTCTGGATTGGTCTTAACTGGTAAATAACCACTAATTTATCTTGAGCAATATCCATTCAACAAATATTTATGGACCAGGCCTGCAACAACTGGGTGGGAAGCTAAAGGTAAAAGATGGGTATGGATGGGGTGCCTGGGTGGCTCAGTCAGTTAAGCATCCGACTCTTGGTTTTGGCTCAGGCCATGATCTCACAGTTTGTGGGTTTGAGCCCCATGTGGGTCTCTACACGGCGCGGGATTCTTTCTCTCCCTCTGCTCCTCTCCCCTGCTTGTGTTTTCTCTCTCTCTCTCTCAAAAAAAAAGATGGGTACGCTCCCTGACTGTCTGGTGCTTAGAGGCTACTGGGGGTTAGAGCATTATGACACAGTGGGGACAGGGAGATACAAGAGCTCTCCAAAGGATCAGTGAGCCATTGTCTAAGAAAGGGAGAAAGAAAGTTCTAGGTGGGGGGCACATGTATATAAACACAGAGGCATCAAGAAGGGTGACTCAGTCTGGGGGCTGAAGGAAGGGCAGAGTACCTTGCAAATAGAGCATGAGAGGAGAAGGGGGAGATACGAGGCTGGAAAGTTCCGTGGGGGGTTCTGGGTGACAGCTATAGAATCATCCCCCATACAAGGATACACGGTCTTCCTCAAACACGATCTTCATGATGGCAGACCTTTGGGGAGAAATCTACCATGGCTACCACTGCCTGCCCCAGGACCCTGGCATCTCTCCGAAGCAGTTTCAACTGTGACGTGGGCACTAATGTCTATTATGTTACAGGATGGAAACGGTTTGCCCTAGGTCTCTCGCTCAGCTGGAGCTGAGGTTTCAGCTTCACAGCTGGGTTTCTTTCTTTTCCTTTTTTTTTTTTTTTCATTTTTAAAAGTTTTATTTATTTATTTTTTAAACATGTTGATGTCAGCCTTGCCAGTCAACACTTTTTCTTTTTTAATGTTTTTATTTATTTCTAGGAGAGAGAGAGAGAGACAGTGTGAGCAGGGGAGGGTCAGAGAGAGAGGGAGTCACAGACTGAAACAGGCTCCAGGCTCTGAGCTGGCAGTCAGCACAGAGCCCGACGCGGGGCTCGAACCCACGAACCGCGAGACCATGACCTAAGCGAAAGTCGGACGCTTAACCGACCAAGCCACCCAGGTGCCCCAAAAGTTTTATTTATTTATTTTTTAAACATGTTGATGTCAGCCTTGCCAGTCAACACTTTTTCTTTTTTAATGTTTTTATTTATTTCTAGGAGAGAGAGAGAGAGACAGTGTGAGCAGGGGAGGGTCAGAGAGAGAGGGAGTCACAGACTGAAACAGGCTCCAGGCTCTGAGCTGGCAGTCAGCACAGAGCCCGACGCGGGGCTCGAACCCACGAACCGCGAGACCATGACCTAAGCGAAAGTCGGACGCTTAACCGACCAAGCCACCCAGGTGCCCCAAAAGTTTTATTTATTTAAGTAAAGTCTCCACCCAATGCACTGGCTCAGTTGGTTAAGCATCTGACTCTTTTTTTTCAATGTGTATTCTTTTTTTTTTTTTTTTTTTTTTTTTTTTTTTTTGGGGAAAGGAGAGAGAGAGAGTATGAGTGGGGAAGGGGCAGAGAGAAAGAGGGAGACACAGAATTTGAAGCAGGCTCCAGGCTCTGAGCTGTCAGCATAGAGCCAGATGCGGGGCTCGAACTCACGATCCATAAGATCATGACCTCAGCCGAAGTCGGACGCCTAACCAACCGAGCCACCCAGGTGCCCCAAGCATCTGACTCTTGATCTCAGCTCAGGTTGTGATCTCACGGTTAGTGGGATGAAGCCCTGAGTTGGGCTCTGCACAGACAATGAGCCTGCTTGGGATTCTCTCTCTCCCATTCTCTCTGCCCTTCCTCTGTTTGCAAGCACTCTCTCCCTCTCTCTCAAAATAAATAAACTTTAAAAAAATCTGGGTTCTTAGTTGATTATTATACTTAAATAGTTTCATTTCCTTTAGTCCTATGTATTTTACCTTATGAATCTGAAAACATTTTTCTGAGTAGGGGTCCAGAGGCCTCACCAAACAGCCAAGGGAATGCACGGTAGAAAAAAAAAAAAGGTAAAAAACCCGTGCTTAACAGAAATATATATGTTGCCCTCTCTTCCCAAAATTGATGTTGGACTTTGGGTATTGAGTCATCTCTCTGGCCTAAGTCCATCACTTCCAATCCCCGGTGCTCTCAAAGGTGCTCTGAGACACCTGTCCCCAAAGAAAACAGCTGTATCAAGTGCATGCAGAGAATCAAATAAGGGAACATCCTAGTGGTAAGGAGTCCATCAGTCTATTTCAACCAGTGAGCTGAGAGCCGGACAAACCCTCACATGCCCCCCTCCCTGAGAAAAAAGGCTTGGGCCACCTGGGTCTACTGTGATTTGTCCCATGGTACCCATCCTCCTAGCGACGGCCAGCTGGACCAGGGATTTCACTCGGGTCTGGCTGGTGGCCAGGGAGGTGGCCAAGCAGGAGAGTTTGCCAAATAGGTACTTTCTGGTTGGATGACCCAATTAGTTTCTGTCTCTTGGGATACTAGACTTGAACATACAAGGAGGTCAGCAGTTGGGAGGGCCAGAAGTGACAGACACAGAGACAGAGGTAAATGGTGAGACAGGGAAATGAAATCCAAGGGGGAACTTGCCAAGTTAGGGTGGGCTTCCACCCTAGAGGGGGTCTGGCCCGGTGCCTGTGTCACTTCATAAAGGTCCGTCTGCTTCTTACCACTTGGAAGAGCGGACCTAGCCTGAGTCCCTAGAGAACTGTGGCAAGCTTGGAGTCCCGGGCTTCACACGAGGCTCACAGCACAGCATGACTTATGTCATGCTAGCGATCCAAAATGAGGAAGAGGGGACTTCCTCCTCAGTCTACTTGATTCTGTATGACCTCCTCCTGGCTCAGTAGGCCCCCACCCCTTGTGCCCAGTACCAGGGCCCTGTTAACTTCTTTGTCCTTGAAATCCCCTTTCCAAGGGTCCCCTATCTGCCTGATTGCCCACAAAGCAGCTAGAGCTGGTACTGCCCGGGTGGGGTTGGGCTACGGGGGTGGGGGAGGTGGCAGGCGGGCAGAAATGGGGACGGAGGCACCCAGAAGACTGCCACTCCCCATCTGAGAAAGGCCACAGGGAGCAGACCTCTGGGATCGGGCCCCCGTGGTTTCCCTTGCCCAGGCTCCTTCTCTCCCTCTGGGGTCTCTTAACACTGCCCTCCTCTCTAGAATTCCTCGTGGATCAAACCTAGTCCACTCTTTGCCCAGACGCAGATCCAGAGATGCTGCTACGTCCACAACTCCTTTAATCCCAATGTGTTAGAGACGAGGACATGAGGCTGAGAAGCCTGATGCTAGCGGTCAGAAGAGAACAGTCCAAGCTCCTTAGGCTGCTCTATAAAAACCCTGCACAAGGCCGCCTCTCCAGCGTCCCTCTTCACAGCTCCCTGCCCCGCTCCTCACTGCCTTGCACCCCTGCGAATCTACTACGCTGGCCTCTCCCAAAACATGCCCTTTCATCTCCAAGTCTTGGCTCCTGATGTTTGCCTGGCTAAAATACCCCTAGGACATCGGGTGAATTTTGGGTCAACCTTTACGACTCAAAGTGTACTCCACGATTCCTTGGTGAGGGAGGGAGCCTGTCCTAATTGCTTCTGTATCTCCAGCTTTGGTAAGGGGCCAAAAATTAGGTGTCCCCTGGCCCCAGTGTCAAGAAATTATTAGGGTCCATAGTACAGTCCCACTTCGAACCCCGTGGGTGCGGCTTACTGAATCACTTAACAAGATATAACGGGTCTGCTATGTTCTAAACACTCTGCCCCGTGCTGGGCATCAAACGTGAATGGAGACACGAGCCAGCAGGATATCAATGAGCAGAAACTTTAAGAACATTCTAAAAATCTATAAAACAGAAACAACAGAGGGTTTAATCCGTGTTTTCCTCCAGGTGCGTGTCGGGGCGGCCACCCTCCCCACACACACCCCCCCCCACCTTCTCAAGGCAAGATTTGAGAGGGATTAAGTATATAATCCTCAGGTTGAGTCTCGCTTCCAGGATGCCATGAGGCCTGAAACCTAACCTGGCCCCACACCTGGCCCCACTGTACCCCTAATTCCCCGCATCCGGGAATTAGCGGTCTGGTTTGCAGCTAGCTGCCATCAAAGGGCCCCAAGAAGGGAGTTGCGAGACGCCATCCAGACGCCGGGCCCGTGCACGCGCAAGGGGCCCTATCGAGGGTCTCAGGCGACAGTCTTAGAAGGCGTGACCCTTTTAGACAGAAGAGACTGGAGGGCGCGAGCTAGGGAGCACGCGGGCGTCACGGAGCCCCAACCCAGGTCTGAGCTCTCCCCAGAGCCCGAGGGCCCGCCCCGCGCCCGGGGTAGAGCGTAGCTTCCGGGATCCGCCCCGCAGGGGGGGGGGTGTCGCCCCCAAGGCGCAGGCGCTGATTGGCCAACGCGGCCGAGGGGCGGGGCCAACGCTAAGGGAGGCGGGGCTAAGGTGGCCCGGAGAGGGCGGGGGCCGCAGCGAAACGCCGGGAGGGGAAGCGGCGGGGCCGCACGTGGGTCTTTTCTGCATCTCTTTAATGCCCGGACCTAGTCCCTGGCGCATGGAGCCCACGCGAGACTATCCGCTGTTTGGGGGCGCCTTCTCCGCCACTCTCCCTCCCGGGGCCATCGATGTGAGGTGAGAAGCCGCGGGCACCGCTGCCCGACAGGGTGGGATGCGGGGAGCAGCGGGGGTCAACCCGGGGGTCTGGTTCGCCTCTCTCCCAGCGACCTCCGGCCGGTCCCGAACAATCAGGAAGTCTTTTGCCATCGCGAGACGGACCAGAGCCTGATCGTGGAACTTCTGGAGCTGCAGGCCCACGTGCAGGGAGAGGCGGCTGCGCGGTGAGGGAGGCGGCGCCCGCGCAGCTGGCCAATGGGAGGGCCGCAGCTGGGGGAGTGGGCGGGGCCTGCGGCTGGACGGTTAATCAGGGCAATGAGAACTCCAAGGGCAACACCTTATCACCGGAAGGGAGTCGAGCTCAAAGGACTCAAAGATGCTGGGGGGGAGGAGCGGTGAGAGATGTCCCTGCCTGACCCTGCTCTCCCTAGTCTAGATACCACTTTGAGGACTTTGGCTGGGTGCAGGAGGCTAGGGCTATGCAAGTGGAGACTGTGCAGCCCCTCCTTTTGGAGAATCTGGCCCTGAGGGGCTTCTGTCAAGAAGCCTGGGTCCTCTCTGGCAAGCAGCAGGTGGCTAAGGAAAACCAGCAGGTGAGGACAGGGGACTGTGAGATTCCTGGAGGGGTGAAGGGCGGGGCCCCGACGCGGGAGGGGGTGGGGGGAGGAGTCAGGTAAGCATCCTGACACTGATCCCTTTAGGTAGCAAAGGACGTGACTGTGCACCAGGCCTTGCTGCGGCTGCCCCAGTACGCGACTGATCTCCTGCTCACCTTCAGTCAGCCCCCGTAAGGAGGACAGATAGGACACGAGACTCATGACTGGGTGTCCAGGAGGATCTGCTGGGTGGGGCGGAGCAGGGAGACGGGCTGCTGGGGTCCTCCAAGAAAGAGGGAGAGGGCCAGAGGTTTGGGGTCCTCCGGGGAACAGGAGGTGGGAACTTCCAACCCCGAGGCCTGGATGACCTTCTCTCTCCATCTGTTCCCCCACCCTCAAGCCCTGACAACAGGTCATCTCTTAGCCCTGAAAATCTGCCACTTCCGCCCTGGAGCCTGGGTGACTTTGAACAGCTGGTGACCAGTCTGACCCTTCACGATCCTGACATCTTTGGTCCCCAGTAAAGATCCTGGAATCTTGCGTGAAGCTGCCGAGACACATGGGGCCCCTTTCTGTAAGGGGAATGGGGGGGGGTTGGAGATAGTCCCCTCATTCCTTCCCTGTGCATTAACATAAGACACCTCCTGTCTGCAGCAATAAACTTGCTTTATACCTAAGATCATCTCTGTGCTGTGACATCCGACAACACACCTGGGGTCCCCCCGCCGTTTCCCTTTGATCTTGAAGTGGGGAGTGTAAAGTTTGTGCATAGGATCAGAAGGGACCTAAGGGCACCCAAATAAAAGGAGGAAATACTTTGGAGTGACTGGTTCAGCCCTGAGAGAGGGGTGTGAAGTTGTCTGGGAAGACGGGTAGGGAAGGGTTAAAGAAAGTGACACCCAAGAAAGAGAGGGAAACTATCCCTTGTAGTGATTCAACCCTGAGAAGACAGATAGGGAGTGGAGCTGGCTGTCCCCCTGGGACGGATGAAAAGATCAGCTGGTCAGGAGTCACCAGGGCACAGTAGTGAAGCTAAGGAGCGCTGATCTGGTGGTGTGGGAAGGAGTGGCTGTCGTTATTTGGTGTACGTGTAGTAGAGGGTGCGTAACTGGTCCCAGAAGAAGAGGGAAAGGATGGTGTGCGGGCCAAGGCGGAAGTAGGAGGCACCTATACCCTTGTACATGCCAAAAATGCCCTCTGTCCGAGCGGTCTGCATCAGAGCATCCAGAATTCCCCGGTACATGAGGCCCTGAGAGCAGGTTGGAGAGGGAGGGAGAGCACAGGGAAGGGGTCGGTCAGAGCCCGCCAGGGGCCTCATCTCAGCAGGCCGTGTTTCCGGCTCTCCCACCTGCCCCCACAATCTGCTTTCAGCCGCCCCCTGGCTCCCCCTGCCTGCAGCCACTCCCGAGCTCTCCCTTACCTTGCCCTGGGCATCTGTGGGCTGGTTGTAGAGCCTCGTGCTGGCTACATCAAATGGCGTCATGGCCAGGACCACTGCGATGCCACTCACCATGGCGGCCACCAGAGCCACCTTCCAGCTCTGGGGAGGAAATATCTAAGGGTGGAGGGAGGAAGAGTTTTATCAGCCAGTTGTTCAAGCCCTAGGAAAGGACAGGGCCGGCCCTGGGGACACAGAGAGCTGGTCGCTTGCTCAGGGAGCTCCCACGCCACCAGTTACAATTCAGTGCGATGACGCTTGGACGGAGGAAGGGCAGAACGTCTGAGGACTCAGAGACACCTTCTGCGAGGTAAGCCACAAGAGGACTATGCAAAGGGCGTCAAGAGTCAGTGAGCCCCCAGCCTCCTGCCGTTCTCTCGTTCCCTCACCCTGAATGTTAGCACTGTCCCCTCTGGGTGGGGGTGGGGGGGTCCTTCAGCTTGCCCTCCCCCCTCCCCGCATCCCCGGGGTGACCCCACCCCTTTCCCGGGCAGTACCTCCCACTGAGTGATGAGGTCCTTGGTGGATGAGAAGGTGCACAGCTGGGTGGAGGAACCGATGGCAACTCGGGGCAGGCCGCCCAGGGCCCCACGCCACAACCCCACCAGACCATGTTTCTGGCCAATCTCGCTTAGCGCCTGAAACATGCCCTGGGAGGGGAAGACCATGGGCGCGGGCTTCAGTCCCCTAGCATCAGGGCCTGCCACCTAATGCTGCCAAGGATGGGTCCTCAAGAGGGACCCAGTGTGTGGACGGCCAGTTCCGTGTGGACTTAAGAGCCGGCATGTGGCCCCCCTTCAGGTGACTACCACTCCCCATTGTTCCTTTCCTCGACGCAAGGGAGGGCAAGGGAGGGATGTGAGCAGGTCAGGAGAATGGGAGGGGAGAAACGGGTGCAGAAGACATAAAGTGGGGACCATGTGGCAACGAGAGTGTAGGCGGGCTCCAGGGACGCAGTGGGGCTGAACTGATGGACCAGGCAGAGGCGGGGCCGGGTTGCAGCTGTTGGGGGCGCGCAGAGAGCTGGGGGGGGGCAGGAGGCGCGGGAAAGAATGGGTGGGGAATCCAGCGGGGTTTGGAGAACCCTCACCTGATGCTTGTACTGGTGCCCTACTGCAATTTCCGAGGCTGCCTGTGCCTGCAGGTGTGTCTTCACCTGGGGACGAGAGAATATCACAGCCTCCGGCCCCGGGGCCACCCTCCCACCCCAAAGACCCAAATGCCTGACCCCCTCGCACTTCCTAGGGGTGTTGGGCAAGGAATATCCTTTCAATCTGGTAATTATTGTTGTTTCCTCTTCAAGAATTGGTCATGAGACTCCGTGTCCCTTGGCTCCCGTCCCAGGGGATGGATCTCTTAGCAAAGCAAGACACCCCACCCCCTCTACATCCTCCTTCCCTTGGGGAGGTAGGGTGGGGGGTGGGGAGGCTGGAGAATGGCAACATTTCCTAAGACTGTTCCCATTAGTCAACACCCTGGTGTTCGGCCTCTCGTGGCAGCTCCTATTCCCAGACTGGACCTCCGGCCACCGCCGTGACCGGGCTGCCCATCAAACTCCGGGGCGGGTTGTGAGGGGTCATCTGTAAAACTCGCTCTCTGGCCTCCAAACCTCACGGGGGCATGTGGAGGCTGATTTTTGGAGGGGTCACTGTCCCTGAATCTCATACCCTGAGAGCAAGACCAGACTGCCTCTCTTCCAGAACGGACTGCCTCCCAGCATCTTTCAGGAGGAGCCCTCAGCAAGGCCTAATCCCAGCAACAGGCAGCTGTGTGACCTTGAGGTGGTCACTTCCCCTCTCTGGGCCTCAGGCTATTGACCCTGCTCCTATCCAGAAAGCTCTAAGGGGAACACTGTGGGATTCTAGTTCTGTGATGCCCAGGACTTTCCCTGATCGCGACACCCGCTATTGTGTGTGGCTTAAATTCCCCATCATCCCCCACGCGAACCCACTTCCAATCTCAGTATTAGCTTGTGAAGGCCCAGCCCCCACCCTACACCACGTGTCTGCCTTGGGCTCCAGGCATGACCCTCCTTCTCACCATGTAGATGGGGCTTCCCAAGTAGGCTCCCATGACCCCAGCCAGGGCCCCAGCTGCCGCGCTTCGGGGACGGCTGAGGGTGCCTTCGGCAGTGTGCAGGTAGCCCCCAGCCTCAGCCAGCCCGTAGGTGCCCAACCGGATGCCATTCATCAGGAACTGGTATAAGAGGGCGGGGGCCAGTCCCTTCTGCAAGGCAGCCAGGCCGTCCACCTTGCCGATGGTGATGAAGGCATGGAAGACGTTTCGGTAGTGCCGCTGGTAGGTGCCGGGGGCCTGCAATTCTCCCTGAAGCTGCATCCTGGTCTTTACCACTTCCAGGGGGTTGGTGAACACACAGGCCCCGCAGGCTGCCAGGCCGCTCATTAAGAAGTCCATGGTGGGGTAGCAGTAACAGGAAGTGGCTCAGGGGTAAGAAAGTAAAAAAAGAGCTTCAGAGACGGGGGTCAGAAGCCAGGGGGAGGGCCTCAGTCTTAGCAGTCGGGGCTGCGGGAGATAGGAACTGAGAGGTCTGGAGTCGAGACTGTTAAGGTCAAATGTCAAGAGGTCAAGGGTTAGCTGGACTTTGGGAGTCAGGAGCTGGCAGAGAGAGAAGAAAAAGGAGTTTAGGAGAGACTGGGGAGAAGGTTACGTTAGGGCTCTGTCGGTCAAGGATCTGAGGTCAAGGAAGGGCGGATAGGCAGGACGATGGCAAGTGCGATGGTGAGGATGGTCGGCTACGCGGCCCGGGAGCAGGCGTGGGAGATGCGGATTCGGGAGATGGGAGCCAGGAGGCAGGAAAAAGGAAAACAGCAGGTTACGGAGGAAAAGGATCCGGGAGAAGATCGGTGGCGTCCGGGGAAGGCAACGGGATCGACGTGTACCGGGGAAGCCAGTCGGGACTCCAGCCCGGGAGGAGCGTCCCCAGGCAGCGGCCCCAGCGCGCTGCAGCTACGGCCCCGGGTAGCCTGCGGGGGCCGCGCCGCCACACTCCAGTCACTGGAGCCCGGCGCCCAATGGGGAGCCGGGGAGAGCCGCAGCCGCGAGCGCCAGCCAATCAGCGCCGAGCCGGCTCCGCGGCCAATGGGAGGTGCCCTGGGCGGCCCGGCCCCCGGAATCCGGGGAAGAGGCTGTTGGCATTAACTCTCCCCACGCCGGCGCCGGCGCCGCGGACCGGGCGCTCCGGGAGGGGCGTCCGGGGAGCGGGGCTTGAATCTCCCGCGGGCGGGAGAGGCTGGACGCGGGGGTCCTGGGCTGGAAGGTTTGGGGCTGCTCCTCTCGCGGGCCAGGGGCGCCCCTCCCTTCGCCTTCTGCCCGGGTCTGTGCCAAGCTGTGGATCCGCGCCCTGCTGGGCTCCGGCGCCCAGGTGAGCCCGGAGGCTGCGGCGCCGCCCGCAGGTGCGGATGGGGGAACACACCTGCTGGACCGGATGGGTCTCCGGAGGCCGAGGAGAGTATTCGCAGGCTCCAGAGCCGGGGTGTGGCTGGCTGCGCGCCCCGAAGATTGGCGTGGGAGCGCAGCGACAGCCCTGAGCTCTCGATCCTCGCGGCAATCCAGGGCAGGGCGGGCAGGGCAGGGCAGGGGTTTAGCTCCCCGGGCTTAGGTTTACACGGTCAGCTAGTGGTGGGAGAGCCCGGGATCCTGGACTCCTGTCCTTGCTCACGAGTCCGCTAACAGTTCATCACGGGAGAACTGGGAAGAGAGACTGGGTTAGCTAGCAGCCCTGGGAAGGGATGGGAGGAGAAACGGTTTGGGAGAAAGAAGGCAGGATGGGGGGTGTCATCTGGGGAGGGGGAGGAGGCAGAGGCCGCCTGCCTGTGTGTGAGGCAGCCACCAGATTTAGACTCGGTGCCTCTGGAGTTCCAGTTTGGGTCTTCTTGCTCACCAGCTGGATGACCGTAGGCAGGTTACTTAACACGTCAGACCTTCCTCTGTAAACAGAAATGGTAATTATCTTTTGCACTAACCTGAAAGTGTTGGATCTGTACTAAGTGCTCAGTTATCAGGTTTCCAGAAAAAAACGCCACGCGCTTGTCAGACCCCTGTGCCCTGAGCTGTGGTTCCGCCGCTGGGCATGTCCCTCCCTCCTCCTTTTGGTGATTCCTAAAGCCATTCCTCACCTTCATCTTTATTTCTCCTGACACTTGAAGCTTTTTCAAGTTCTCCACCCCCAGGCGTTTCCAACGGCTGCATTTACCCACGTATTTACCCACATTTCTCGTTTTAATTAACAATTGTTTACTGACACCTTCGCCTCCCTCGGAGTTCTCGGATCCCTCCCCCCCCCCACTTCTGAGTCATCTGTATCTGGCCATTGTACTGCTATCTCATTGAGCAGTTAGGAGGGGTGGAGTGTAAAGTAGAGCTGATAATGGGGCTTCTCAGGAGGGGCTCTGGAAATTTCCAAGGAGTGCTCTTAGATTTCCCCACCTGGTGGACGGGATGAGAATTAATCATTATTTTCATCCTGGAGTTTACACTGTTAGACCACCTTTTCCAAAGGAGAATCACCGAGGACAAAGCCCACAAACACAAAAGGAGTTGGTTATTCAGGTTTATTTTAGTCCAGCCGGACGGCCCCTCCTGAGCACCCAAAGAGTCCTCCGGAGAGCGCGCCGTCGAGCCATAGCTCAGGGTTTATACAGGGAGCAGGGGCGAAGCGGGTGTACAGAAGCAAGAATTTTGCGGTTAGAGGTGGGGGTGGCTTAACAGTTGCTTGAAGAACATGTTTGACCGTTCTAATCACGATGTCAATTAAAGATTTACATCTCAGGGGCTTGCTGCAGCCAGGAGGAGCTAGGTTGCTCAACCCCTGACCTTTCACCCGAATAGAGTTTGAGATCAAACAATGGTTGGTATGTCTTCATTTGCAAGCCCCTCACCTTTTGGCTCAAGGGGAGTTTTACAACACCAGTGGTTCTCAAAGTGTGGTCCCTGGAGCAGCAGCACCTGGGAATTTACTAGAAATGCAGATTCTCTAGTCTTGCCTTAAGACCTCCCGCACCAGGAACTCGGGAGGTGAAAACTGACTATTTGTTTCCACAGCGCTCTAGTTATTCTGATGTGTGCTGAAGTTTTGGAACCATTAGTTTCGTTTTTTTGTCTTTAATATCTAGATACCCTAGAGATAGACTACTTTTTAAAAACATTTTTTTTAATGTTTTATTTTTGAGAGAGATAGAGACAGAGCATGCACGGGGGAGGGACAGAGAGAGAAGGAGACACAGAATCTGAAGCAGGCTCCAAGCTGTCAGCACAGAGCCCTGTGCGGGGCTCGAACTCAGGAACTGTGAGATCATGACTTGAGCCAACATCGGATGCCTAACCGACAGACCCACCCAGGCGCCCCTATAGTACTATTTTTAAAAATAGCTTAATTTGGGGGTGCCTGGGTGGCTCAGTCAGTCAAGCATCCGACTCTTGGTTTCAGCTCAGGTCATGATCTCAAGATTCGTGAGTTCGAGCCCCACACAGGGCTCTGTGCTGACAGCTCGGAGCCTGGAGCCTGCTTCAGATTCTGTGTCTCCCTGTCTCTCTGCCCCTCCCCTGCTCACACTCTGTCTCTCTCTCAAAAAAGGAATAAACATTTAAAAAATTTTTAATAGCTTAAATTTTAGAGGTTTTAAGTTTACAGAAAAGGTGTAAAAGTTGTAAAGATACTGTGAGAATTCCCATGTTACCTTCATCCAGTTTCCCTTGTTATTAACATCTTGCAGTAATATGATATATTGTTATAATGAATGAACTGATATTGATGCATTATTATTAATTAGAATCCGTATTTTACTCCCGTTTTCTTCATTTTTGCTTAAATTTCTTTTTCCATTCCAGGATCCCGTGCAGGGCACCTACCACATTACGTTTAATTGTCATATTTTCTTAGGCTCTAAGAAGGCTCTGTCTTAGCTGTGACAGTTTCTCGGACTCTCCTTGTTTTTGATGGCCTTCACAGTGTTGAGGACTCCTGGTTTAGGGATTTTATAGAATGTCCCTCTGCATTTCATGATTGACTGAGGGCTTTTTGTCTCATGATTTTTTTTTTTCTCGTGATTGAACTGAGGTCATGGGTTTTTGGGGAAGAAGACCACAGAGGTAAATGCCATTTATCACATCATATCAAGCAAGTAGATGCATACTGTCAAAGTGGTTTGTCACTGTTGGTGTTGATCTTGATCACCTGGATCAGGTAGCATTTGTCAAGGTTCTCCTTAGCGAAGCTATTGTTTTTTCCTCCTTTACAAACTGTACTCTTTGGAGGGAAGCCACTATACACAGCCCACACTTAAGGAATAAAGAGTTAGGGGGTTCCTGGGTGGCTCAGTCTGTTAAGCGTCCAGTTTTGGCTCAGGTCATGATCTCATGGTTCGTGGGTTCGAGCCCCATGTCAGGCTCTGTGCTGACAGCTCAGAGCCTAGCCTGTTTCAGATTCTGTGTCTCCCTCTCTCTGACCCTCCCCTGCTCACGCTGTTTCTCTTCTCTCTCTCTCTCAGAAATAAATAAAACATTAAAAACATTTTTTTTAAAAAGGATGGAGAGTTAGGAGAGTTAGGCTCTGCCTCCTTGAGGGAGAAGAATCTACAAAATTTATTTGGAATTAATGCACAGGAGATTTGCCTTCCTCATTTATTTATCTATTCAACTATTGATTTCTATCGGTACGGACCCATGGGTATTTAATTCCATGTACTTTATTTTGTTGCTCAAATTGTTCTAGCTTTTAGCCTTGGGAGCTCTTTCTTTCACAGACCATGCTTTTTGCGTTGTATCCAAAAACATATCGCCAGAACCAAGGTCACCTAGATTAGCTCCTGTATTTTTCTTCTTGAAGTTTTACAGGTTTACATTTTACGTTATAGGTGTGTGGTATTTTTTGAGTCTGAATGATGGAAGTTCTGTGTCTAGATTCATTTTTTTAAAATTTATGTTTATTTTTCAGAGACACAAGTGTGAGCAGGGGAGGGGCAGAGAGAGGGAGATACAGAATCCGAAGCAGGCTCTTGCTCCGAGCTGTCAGCACAGAGCCTGATGTGGGACTTGAACTCATGAACTGTGAGATCATGACCGGTGCCAGGAACATTTATTGAGAAGACTATCCTTTCTCCATCGAGTTGCTCTTTTCGTAAACATCAGTTGAATATATCTGTGTGGGTCTATTTTGGGGCTCTGTATTCGCTCTTTTATTTTTTTTTTTAATTTTGGAGACAGAGAGAGGCAGAGCATGAGCGGGGGAGAGAGAGAGAGGGAGACACAGAATCTGAAACAGGCTCCAGGTTCTGAGCTGCCAGCACAGAACCCGGTGTGGGGCTTGAACCCACGAACAGTGAGATCATGACCTGAGCTGAAGCCGGACGCTCTACCGACTGAGCCACCCAGGAGCCCCTGGGGCTCTATTCTCTCCCGTTGATCTTTGTGTCCATTCTTTTGGTAATACCGCGACACTGATGGGTTCCCTAGGCAGGCAGGTCCCACACCAGAAGTTTTCAGACTCCACCTGGTGGCAGTTGGACCGAATCCTCTATCCTCACCAAGATCAGAGCCTATCTATCTATACAGGGGCCTATCTATCTATACAGGGGCGCCTGGACAGCTCAGTTGGTGACTGGTTGAACTTTGGCTCAGGTCATGATCTCACAGTTTGTGACTTTGAGCTCCGCAGGAGGCTCTGAGCCTGGAGTGGCCGATCTTTTCCTCACTGCCCACTTCCTGATTCATCTCACACCACAGACAGAATACCCAGCCCTGAGGGTTTTCCATACAGAAAAGGAGGCCCAGGTGTTCTGTACTCTCAGAAGGATTATTACATTTTTTTCGAATTTTTAAAAAAAGTTTTACTTATTTCTGAGAGAGAGAGAGAGAGAGAGAGCATCAGCTTGAGCAGGGGAGGGTCAGAGAGAGAGAGAGGGAGACACAGAATCCGTAGCAGGCTCCAGGTTCTGGGCTAGCCATCAGCACAGAGCCCTACGCGGGGCTCGAACCCATGAACTGTGTGATCATGACCTCAGCTGAAGTCAGACGCTCAGCTGAAGTCAGACTGAGCCACCCAGATGCCCTATGGATGTTTGTTTATTTTTGAGTGAGAGAGAATGAGAGAGCGAGAGAAGAGAGAGCGAGAGAAAGAGAGAGCTAGCACGAGCAGGGCAAGGGCAAAGAGAGAGGGTGACACAGCACCTGAAGCAGGCCCCAGGCTCTGAGCTGTCAGCACAAAGCCTGATGCGGAGCTTGAACCCACGGACCATGAGATCCTGACCCAGGCCAAAGTCAGACACTTAACTGACTAAGCCTTCCAGGCACCCCACTCCCAAAAGGATTCTATTGAAGTTCAAGTCTTGGCCCTGCCAGACACCAGTCTGACTGAATATTTCTTTCTTTTTTTTTTTATTTTTTTATTTTTTTTTAATTTTTTTTTTAATGTTTTTATTTATTTCTAGGAGAGAGAGAGAGAGACAGTGTGAGCAGGGGAGGGCCAGAGAGAGAGGGAGTCACAGACTGAAACAGGCTCCAGGCTCTGAGCTGGCAATCAGCACAGAGCCCGACGCGGGGCTCGAACCCACGAACCGCGAGATCACGACCTGAGCGAAAGTCGGACGCTTAACCGACTAAGCCACCCGGGCGCCCCTGAATATTTCTTTCATCATGAGCTCCTTTCCCCTCATACGGGATTTTATTTTATTTTATTTTTTTGGTAGTGACAAAAACCCTACTCAAGCCAGCTTACAGAACAGGAATTTATTGACTCACATCACTGAAAAGCGCAAACACAGATAGGATTCCAGGCCAGCAGGATCAGGAACTCAGCTCTGTGTCTCTCCGCCTCTCCCTTGTGTTGACTTCTCAGGCGCCCCAGGGAGCAGCCCAAGGCCTGGGCCTCACCAGGTTAGCATCTCCAGGGGAAAGAGAGAGCTTTGGTCATCTTTTTCTATGTAACGAATCAATCCAGACTTAGTGGCTGGACACACCACCATTTCTTTGCTCAGGAGTCTGTGCATCAAAATTGGGGCTGGGGCGCCTGGGTGGCTCGGTGAGTTAAACGCCCAGCTGAAGTTCAGGCCATGATCTTGCAGTTCATGGGTTTGAGCCCTGCGTCGGGCTCTGTGCTGACAGCTCAGAGCCTGGAGCCTGCTCTGGATTCTGTGTCTCCCTCTCTCTGCCCCTTTCCCACTCATACTCTGTCTCTGTCTCTCTCTTTCGAAAATAAGTAAACTGGGGCTGGAGAATCCAAGATGGCCTTAAAACGAGTCCTAAGACCTTGATCCTGGCTGGGGCATCCTGGTTCTCCAAGTGGCTCCTCCCTCCACATGGCCTGTCACCATTCACTAGTCTCACCGACATTTCTGTGCTTGATGGCCGGCTCCTAAGAAAACAAAGCTGAAGCTGCCGGTCCTCTTCAGGCCTAGGCCCCAGACCTCCAGACCTCAAATGGGAAGTGGGCACAGTGTTATTCTTTATATTGTTTTGATCAAAGCAAGTCACGGGGCCAGCCCAGGTTGAATTGGAGGGAAACTAAAATCTCTCTCTCTCTCTCTAAGTTTATTTATTTTGAGAGAGAGCACACAAGCTGGGGACTGGCAGAGAGAGAGGGAGACAGAATCCCAAGCAGATGCCCCACGGTCAGCACAGATCCTGACACGGGGCTTGAACTCACGACCTTCAAGATCGTGACCTGAGCCGAGATCAAGAGCCGGTTGCTTAACCGACTGAGTCGCCCAGGTGCCGCTAAATTCTTCCTCTTAATGAGAAGAGTGTCAGAGTCACACTGCAAAAGGGAATTTGGGAAGGGATGGCCTGTTGCCTCCATCTTTGGAAAATAACCTACCAGAGAGCCTAGAATGTCTTTTTCAGTGATTGGAGCCCAAGTCCTGCGTGGATTATGCTTTGGCCCTGCGTGTGTCACACGCTCATCCCTGAAGCAGTCTTGGTGGCTAGGGAAGAGCACACGTGTTGACTGGTGGCTCTGGCCCATGCACCCCCCGCCCCCCGGAATGGGCCATGTGGACTAGAGTGATGGTGACTCCTCAAAGGAAAACGAGGTACCAGAAGGTGGGAGTGAGTAAGGAGATGGTCAAAATCATTTCTGTGCGCTCACCTCATCCCCTTCCATGCCTGTTCTGCCCCGTTGGGTTGCCCACCATGTGGCTTCTGCTTGTTCCTCCAGCCTTCTAACCCCCTTTCCATTTCAGCTAAGACTCTCTCCCACAGTTCCCCAGATGGGGCCACCCCCTGCAGTCCCCCGATATGGGCACCCGTGACTTGCCTCTTGGCCTGGCCGACGCCTCCCTGATAGTCAAGGAACAGTCTATGCCTCTGCTCCATGAAGCCTTTCCCAGCCACCAGGTGAGCAACGCGAGAAAGACCGAGGAGGGTTGAGGCTGCCTGATGTGGAGGTAAAGAGACGGGAGATAAAAAAAAAACAAAAACAAACAAAAACCAAACCCTGAGGACCCCTCTGCCCTTCCAGAAAAGAATCTCCAAGCAAAATCAAAACCAATCCCGTCGAAACTCCTAGGGTTACTTTGTTAATCACACTAGATGTTCCTGCTTTGTGACCTTGGAGGAAAGAGAAAGAGGTTCTTTCCCAGGGAGGCTGTCCCTGCTTGGGTGAGTCGCGCATTCCTGGGCCATTCTCTGTGGCCAGAGGATTGACCAAGTCTGGGTCAGATGGCCGGGGTAGGGGGGTGGGGGGGTGGGGGGTGAGGCTGTTATGCTTGGCAGTGCTGCTGGGACCCTGTGGAGTTGGGGGGGGGGGAAGCATTTCCTAGGAGACTTACTGTTCTTACCAAGGTGGTAAAACCTCCTTGATGCAATATCACGTTCTAGGAAAAGCTGTGAGTGACAAAGACCATGTGGCAACATGACAAATGGTCATAAATCAAAATGCTAAGGAGAAGAAGGCAGAATAGAGCGCCGAAGCAATGAGGGTATCCCGGGAATATGGAAAAATAGAAAGCTTTTGCCTTCCGGCGGCGGGGGGGGGAGGAGGGAGTAGCGCTGTCTTATTACATAAAAAGCCTTCGCCACCTTTGCAAAAGCATTTGTAACAAATATGTTCGTACAAAAATAATCTGGTGGTTATCGCACGATACAATTTTCAGGGCTCGGTTTCTTTTCAGAATGAGACGGAGCAAACATATAAATAAACAGATGGTGACTTTTATGGCTCTGAAACGTCGCGTTTTTGTTGGTTTTTTTTTTCGTCCTTGAGGTTGCTTTGAGCAGTGGGGCCCAGAAAGACTCTTGGTCAGGAATGTTAGAACATTCTGAGCGCAGTCCTAGGGAGCTTCAGTTTTGGGGAGGAGGAGAAGTCTCTCACCGACAGCCAGGCAGATAGGAGGTCTCTGGGTGCGTGAGTTGGGACAGGGAGAGGCAGAGGGAAAGTCAGGGAGGACAGGTAAGGGCCCAGCGCGGTCCAGTCCACCCCATTCCTCGCCTTCCGGCAGCCACACTTCTCCTGGGTTCAGATAGTGTCAAGTACCATTCATGTTGCAACTAATAACCAGCACTTGGGGGTTATCTTATTTATTTACTTACTTATTTTTAAAGGTTATTTATTTAGGGGCGCCTGGGTGGCTCAGTCGGTTAAGCGTCCGACTTCGGCTCAGGTCATGATCTCACGGTTCGTGGGTTCGAGCCCCGTGTCGGGCTCTGTGCTGTCGGCTCAGAGCTTGGAGCCTGTTTCAAATTCTGTGTCTCCCTCTGTCTCTGACCCTCCCCTGCTCACGCTGTCTCTCTCTCTCTCTCTCAGAAATAAATAAAACATTAAAAAAAATTTTAAAAAAGTTTATTTGGAGAGAGGGAGAGAGTGAGCAGGGTGAAAGCAGAGAGAGGGAGAATCCCAAGCAGACTCTAACCTCTCAGCAGCACAGAGCCCGATGCAGGGCTCGAACTCAACAACCACAACATCATGATCTGAGCCGAAACCAAGAGTTGGACACTTAACCGACTGAGCCACCAAGGCGCCCCTATTATTTAATTTGTTTTTATTTGAGAGAGAGAAAGTGGAGGGGGGAGAGTGGCAGAGGGAGAGAGAGAGAATCTTAAGCTCCATGCTCCACTCAGAGCCCAACGCTGGGATCGATCCCACGACCCTGGCTCAACCAACTGAGCCACCCACGTGCTGTCCCTATTTTTATTTCTTTAAGTAAGCTCTACATCCAACGTGGGGCTTGAACTCACAACCCTGAGACCCAGAATTGCACGTTCTACCAACTGAGCCAGCCAGGCGTCCCCGGGGTTATCTTTTTTAATGTTATTTTTGTAAGTGACAAAGTGAATAAGATATTCCCATTTCAGTTAAAAAAAAACAAACAAACACAGGGTTCTTTTGGTTACTTATGTGTATTCAGCTTTCTTGATCGGGTCTGTGAAGTACTCTTGGAAAGATTTCCTCTCCCTGAAAGTCCAAAAGGATCTAGAGATTAGGGCTGGGAGGCTGGATTCCTGGTACTGGGGTGTGTGTGTGTGTGTGTATGTGTGTGTGTGTGTGTGTGTAAACAGGTGAGATCAACAAATCGTGGAAATGGTCCATAGGCAAGGAGGGTCAGACTAGCGGACCATGGGAAGAATTCAATTCAAGGTGGTTCAATTCCTAAAATATTAAGCAGACATTATTATATGCCTGGCCGTGTTCCAGAACTTGGGGACAGATACATCAGTGAGCAAAACATAAAGGCCCTGCCACCAGGAAGCTTACTTTTTAACACGAGAAGATCATTAACTGCAAACAGAATTTGTCAGTTCGATAGCACACGTTTTGGTACATTACAAGGAATGGCTGCTGGAGGGAACGGAGCATGAGGTGGCGGCTGGCGGTTTCAGAGTGGTGGGGCAGCCCTCATCAGAAGGTGGTCTCTGAGCAGTGACTTGAAGAGGTGAGGGACTCACCCATGGGGATGTCTTGGGAGGCAGGCTTGCAGGCAGCCAGTGCGGAACCCCCTGGGCAGACAGGAGGGTAGATGGGGTAGTGAGTGCCTGGCTGGTCATTGTGAGAATTTTGCCTTTCGCGCGGAAGAGAAAGGAGGTCAAGCGTTTTTATACCAGTTTTCCGGCTTTTCTTTCCAGTGTCTTGTTTGGGCGTGTGTGTGTGCGCGCGCACGCGCGCGTGTGGAGATCTAGAAAGAGTGGCCCCTGGGTGTGGGCAGAGGCCCCCCGATTTCATAACCACCCTCGGATCTTCCTCCCATTAGCCTGAATCCAGGCTAGGCTGGGGCTCGCCCCACCCTCTCTGTTTTCATGGCACACCCCCAGCCCTGGGAACCCAGCTCCTCAAGCACAGAGCAAATTAGAGGTGAGAGGGACCCCTGCCCACCCAGCCCCGGGGGTTTGCTGACTGCACCCGCCAATTGACATCAAAGCCTCCCAGTGCGAAAGGGAGAGTCAGGGGCCGGAACCCAGAGAGATGTGGGCAGAGAAGGGTGACCAGGCAGGGGTCCCAGCAAATGTCACCCCACCTGGAGTAGAGCCCGGTCTCAGGTCTCGGACCTCCTTCCCCCAGGGGCCCTCTCCCCCCACCCCCGCCTCCCTCCCCCCGCCCCCCAGGCACACATGCACACACGCCTGACACAATGGCCGGGTGGGGCTGAGGAACTGGCTTCCTCTGTGGAGATCTCAATCTGGGCCCTCAGTTCCCGCCCCAGAAACACAGGAACAGACATTTGGGGACCTGGCTCCACACTCCTCGCTCCAAGGGGTCGGCAGGACAGGCTGAAAATAGAAACAGCTTCCAGAAAGATAAAGGTAAGTTCGGAGTTGGGGGGGACTGCTGTCGAGTCAGGGTGGGGGGTCCCGTGGTGTGACATAAGGGACTGGCTCACACCCAGGGGGACGGCTTAGAAGCTTAAGGGACAGGCTCTCGTGTGTGGTGCGGGACAGACAGTCAGGCATGTCCTGGAGGGACACACAGAGGCGTCCAGACGCCCGTGCCCTACCACCAGCCCGGCCCTGGCCAGCCCATCCTCCATCCTCACCCCAGGCCCCTGCTGCACCCCCCGTCCACACAGCAAGGCAGCCAGAGCCTGAGGCGGAACACACGAGTACAGACCAGCCCACTCCCCATGCCTGAGTTTCAGCCTTTTCCAGGGACCCTAGGGCTCCTGGGTCCATCACATCTTCCAGAACCCTAGTGTGCGCATGTGGAGTGTGCTGTGGTTGGGGGGGGGGGTGTCCGGTTGGGAGGAGGATCCGATTCCTGTTTCCTGCCCCTACTCACTCAGCCCTGGGAGGTGACAGAGTGGAGAGGACTGAAGGGTGAGTGCGTCGGGCCCAGTACCTGGGTCCTTGTGAGAGAGAGGCGGGGGGGGGGGGGCAGGAAAGGAAGTAAACGCAGGTACCTGGGGGGGGGATCCCTGAAGGGGGGTAAGGGTGGGGAGGAGCCCGCCAGCTGGTGAGGCCACTGCCTGGGCCACCTAAGGAGCTTCCTGCCAGAACACAGAGCCCATTGAGCTGCAAGGCTCACCGTCTCTGGCCCCCAGCCCTCACCCGGCATCCTTTCTCCAGAACCCAATCTGGGGCCTGGAGGGGTCTGACTCTCCCGCCGACTCCAGCACGCAGTTTGGGGGCACCGCCTGACCCTGCCGCCTTCCCGGTGGAGGAGGTGAAGCCCAGGTTTCGGGCGTCCTGGCCCCACTGGTCCTCACCTTCAGTCCAGTACGGTCTCCCGACCCCCCACCAGGCATCCTGGCAGGAAGCAGGCTCCCACGGGGGCCTCTCTGAGCAGACTGGGGGGGGGGGGGACGGCGGGGGCAGGCAGGGATGAGGGGAGAGACCATGCCCGGGGCCTCCTGGTCTCTTGGGGTCAGAGGCTCCAGGAATCTTGAGGGCAGGAAAAGGAGACTAAAAATAATCCGGAAAGGGAGAGTCCGGAGAGAGGAACTGGGAAATGGGGGGCGGAGGGCGCGCCGGAGCAGGGAAACAGTGATGCATCCCTCGCTGCCCGGGGCCGCGGCGGCGGCGCGCCTGCGCACGCGCGTCCGCTCGCACCCCACCGCTCCGCCCGTACCGCGCGCAGCCCGCCGCCTGGCCGCACCGAGCGTACGTCCTCCGCACGACGTCGCGCGCGCGCGCAGGCACGCACAGCTCCGCAGCCGCCCGCGTCTGGCCACGCGACCGGCCCGAAGTACCCGGGCCCCCGACCTGGGTCTCCAGCTGGGGGCCCCCACGCCCGCCCCCCTGCCCCCTGCGGCCTGATCGTGGCCACAGAAGCCAAAAGACAGAGAGAAATGGAGGCGGGGAGGCTGGGAGGGGTGAGAGGTGAGGCCAGGGAGACAGTGGAGACGAGAAAGAAGCAGAGAGAGGGCACCGGCCTTTCCCCCTCCCGCCCCGCCCCTGAGATCATGCCCCATTGGCTTGCAGACAGTTTCTGCTGGGAGGCCTCCGTCTATCCGTCTATCGTCTATCGGTCTATCGTCTATCGGTCTATCGGTCTATCCGTCTGTCTGTCCGTGGGGTGGGGGTGGGGGGCCTTCAGGGTCTCTTTCCGCCTCCCTCTTCCTCAGGGGATGACTCCAGAAGAGTACCCCACTCCTTTGAAGAGCCCGGAGGGAGATGTCAGCCCAGTCTCTTCCTGCAGCAACTCCCCCTACCCAGAAGCCCCCTCGGATCATCCGCCCCCGTCCCCCCTCTCGCCCCAGGGCCGCCCAGTCCCCAGGGCCCCACCACAACGGCTCTTCTCCACAGGAAGCTCCCCTCACCTGTGATGTCGCAGCCCCGCTGTGCAACCCCCTCCCCTGGGAGCCCCCCGCCTCGGCCCTCAAGCCCCCTGCCCTTCTGCTCCCCTCGGCTTCTAAGGCCAGCCTCGACTCCCAGACTTCCCCAGACTCGCCTTCCAGCACCCCCAGTCCAGTGTCCAGGCGCTCCGTCACCCCGGAACCCGCCCCCCGGTCTCCAGTTCCCCCACCCAAACCCTCGGGGTCACCCCACACTCTGCCCCTGCTCCCCAAGGCTGGTGACCTGGCCCAGGGTGGCTCCGCCTCGGCCCCAGGGTCTGTGCGGAGACTGGCTGGCAGGTTTGAATGGGGAGCTGAAGGCAAAGTCCAGGCTGCGGATGTCCCGGAGTCGGGTCCCCAAGGGGCAGTGGATGTGAACGGGGAGAGAGAGGCTCCACCAGGCAGCCTTGCTGGGAGCGGGTCACAGGAGAATGGCGCTCCAGGTAAGTGCCGCGTGGAGCCCTGGGCGGCTTCTTCCTGCTTTAAGACTGGGTCCTTTCAGGGACTACGATTTTTTTTTTTTTTTTTTTTTTTTAATGTTTTTTTTTTTTATGTTTTTTAAAAATTTATTTCTGAGAGAGAGAGACAACGTGAGCAGGGGAGGGTCAGAGAGAGAGGGAGGCACAGAATCTGAAACAGGCTCCAGGCTCTGAGCTGTCAGCACAGAGCCCGACGTGGGGCTCGAACCCAC